ACATGTCCTGAAAAAGAAATCGTAACAAATTGGTGGAAAAATGACCCTGTAAAGTTTTCAATACTTCAAATATGCATCAGAGTGAATCCTCAAATGACTTGAAATAAGTATTTGGAAATTTATGGATGTCAGGTTCTGAGGAATATAACATTTTTGAGCATATTCTTACTCCTTCATCAGGATGGATGAATGTAGGTAAGAAATTACTATTACTCACATGTGTTTTGACCTCAGTGCTTACCTAAGAAAATTAATTAAGTTAATGTTTGGAATACTGCCATATGATAAACAAACCTGTATTTGTATGTTATGCATGGGTTGCTGTTCCAATGCCCATTCCAGGTACAGGAAGATATTCTCATGTTTCTGATGCGTCCAGTATAAGCTGTTGAGGCTAGCAGCCTCCATGTACAGCTTTTTCTGTGACAACTGCAAGACATACTGTGGTGATGCACACCACAAAAGTAATGCCTTGCACTCTGCAAACATCTGAAGTAGATTAGAACAGAACTAAATAAGGACTCAAGCCAAAGTATCCACAAGTTTGTCAAATAAAATATATTGCTAGTACTAAAAATTTCACTTAACAAGATCCAGAATACAACCTTGATAAGCTTGAGGAGGGCATACTTTTGGTTAGGGTTAGGGTTGATAAGGTTTGCTATTTTAGGGTTATGACATGAAAATATGGCTGGTAGGTATCCGAATTATTATTTTAAACAAATCAGTCAAACCTCAAAACAAATAGACTGGTCTCTGCGAAATTCATTGCATAGATGTAATACTGAAGAGCCCTCATATACATTAGGTTGGTTACTGCATTCTATACATGTGTTCAAAGAAAAGACCAACTTACACGTCTTGCAACAGACCCAGGTTCATCTTTCTCTGCCCACACCTGTACAACAATGGATGCTGTTGTGTCTGGATGGTAGCCCATGAATGCATCTTCTGGTTTGGACTTCAGTGCACTTCAAAAATAATAATGAAGTGCAATAGTTTAACTAAAATTGCATGAATCTGCTTCATGTTAAAAGTACTATAATTATTTACCAGTTTGATTAACTTGTATTTAAAAAGAGTAAAGTATATAAGTACCTTAATCAGAAATGATACATGTATGCAGAGACACTGACACATATATAACAACCACAGAAGGCACATATTGAAGAGGAAATCCTGAGGATACACAAGGATAATAGATCAGGGCAATTCATGTATTCTGATAGATGTTCAAGGATTTATGGACACTTAGGGGACAGAATGCGTAATGGTTGGTGGCACTGGACAACCCATGCCCCCAAAAGCTCTATGTGTAAAATGTAAGCATGATTGTGTCTTTTTCAGTCATCACTAGATTAAACTAAAACTCAGTGATGACTAGTAGCATGTTGTTTAAATGATCCTTACAAACATACTAGGAATAACTCTTTTTTCTGACACTATACATTCTGAACATCATTACAAAAATACAAACCTTTCATTGTCAAAGAAATGTTTCCAAGAAGGGCAAGTAACCCTGATATTTACCCTTGAGATGTGTGTGTCTCTTGATGAAGAGTGACATAATCTTGAGACCACCCATGAAGCATCCAAGCCATCTCTATCTGCTCAGGTGACATCTACAAAAACCTACCTTCCTGGTTGGGGTGTTTTGGGTGTTACAAAGTCTACTGCCCACTGATGAAGCTTCCTGGCCATCTCTATCTGCTCAGGTGACATCATGTTGTTAAGAGTCAGGAAGTGTTTCTCCAGGCGGTTGATCAGTGGTATTGGAAACTTCTCGTACACTATCTGCTTCTCTGCTACCACAATCAGCCTGTTGAATGTATACATAAATAGAGGACATTATACGAGTGCCCATGTCATAGTATGTATACGACATGAGTGCTTAAATGTTGGACAAATATAATATTCTGTTTATTACCAAAGCCGTCAAATTGAGAAAAATACACCAAAATCTACTTTCAAACATAGGCTGGCTTCCTGCCTCCGCCATATGTAGAACGCAACGTTATAGAAGCAACGTGACATCATAGCATTGTTCATGACATCACATCACCATGACTAAGTGATATTTTGCCCTAGGGCATCATATGAAAAATATGAACCCCGATATTTTCGCCCTCGTAGGTAATAAATTGGGGTAATTACTGCTGTACCATTAGTTATATTACTGAATCGTATTTCACTGTTCTCATGGCCACCTTTACCTTTCTACAATGCAAAGTTATACTGACTACTTTTCACAGGACATAGAACCTTTGATACAATGTTCTTATTGGCTGATGTATGTTTCTTACCAACTGATATTTGTGTCTCGTTATTTTCATGTCTCTTATTGACTGATATATGTTTCTTATTGACTGACAGAGATTTTATTGTCTGATCTATGTATCTTGTCATTTGATCTAGTCTTGTTATTGACTTAAATGTGTTTCCTATTGTCTGACATGTGGTTCTTATTGTCTGATAATACGTTTCTTATTGTTTGATATGTGTTATTAATTGATTGATATTTGTGACTTATTTTCTTATACATGTTTCTTATTATCTTTTACATTTATCACATTGACTGATAGATCTGTGTTATTGTCTGAGATGTCTCTTATTTTCTGATACATGTTTTTAATTGACTGATATGTTTCTTATTGCCTGATGTATAGTATCTCAATCACGAACAAATTGTAATAGTATGTATCACCAAGGACAAATGGACAATTGCAATATCTGAAGCCTTTGAATAAAGCATGTACCCATTTACCACTAGTGTATTCCACTGCAGTTTCACAGCTGGCTATATTAGTTACAAAATTAACTAACACATGCACAAGAAAAGACAGACATAGATCATTTTATGCTTAGTACAGTGAATAAAGAATAAGTTAATTAATTCATAAATAACTTCATAATTGCTTCCAAAGAATAAAATACCCTTCTTCTAGATAAAATGTAATCTACAAGTGTATTCTGGCATATACACTTTCAGGAAGGTACAGTTTCTCAAGGATGACAGCATCTTGATTAAACATTCTATAGGTAAAGACCATTCATCATGTTAACCTGAATTTCTTGTGTACTCTACACTTCACTCGATGGGTTCCTAATCCAAGATCAACAAATCTTTCGTCTCCCAGTCTGGCATAATACTGAAATAAAAACAGAGTTACCTTCTTTTGCATAGCTCACATTCATGCACTTCATCATTTAAAAATTTGCTCCCTAGCATTTCCTCTGTGATGGTGGTAAAGCATATGACATCATCAAACCAATGACATCACGAGAACAATTTGATGCTGCAACAGGGACACATTTCTCGTATGACATAATATACTGTATAGCTTTAAAAGGTTTGACCTAATAAATGTTGATAAATCTCCTTCTTGCAGCTCTTCAGACATGAAGTAAAGAAAATGTGACCAAATAGGTTGAAGACATTGATGCAGTAATATCCACAAAAGACATGTTGGGTTTTTTATTTCCAGACCTAAAGAAATTATCAAATTTTAATCCTACTATCAGTCTTTATATTTTCTTCACATTTCATATTCAACAAATACAGACGTTCACAGACTGATGCATAATTGAATAATTCATAAAGAAAGTTTTGAAAACATCTTTTGTTGGCACTGTAATCATGGAAGATGTATGCTCTGCTGATTGTCTCCATATGACTCTATTGGTAATAAATGAAACAGATGGTTTCTCAGCTGCATTTCGGATTAAGGATAATTATAAGAAAGAAGTATGCCATAGGACTGGAATCACCAAATGATATAGTTTCGTATTCATTCAAACTAATTCTTTCAAACCTATCATGAAGATTTATATGTATTATATTTATATTATATTTACCGGCATAATGATTACATTGACCATTTAAATTATAGTCATAGCTTACTTTGGTCAAATAATGAATGGTCAATACATGGCTGCTCAAGAGAACTGACCTGGTTCAGTGCATCATAGAGACTCTCATATAGATTTTCCAGGTTCAACAGAATGACTGTGCTGCCAGTCTCCATGCACACCTTGATCCTGTTGATGTTCCGACACACCTGTAAGTGTAAAACGTCATTTGTACTTGAGAAATGCCATGCAGAATTCAAGCAGTTTTTCAAACAGCAACGTGTCTCTTCATTATTATGAAAAAAGAGTGTCCCAACAGAGACATTTGAGTAAACATATCAGAACATTTAAACAGCTAATTCATACACCTATGAATAAGTATACCATGGTAATCAAATTATAATCACACACACGCATGCATGCACGCACGCCACGCACGCACGCACGCATTGCACAATAATACACGCACACACACACACACACACACACATGCACACACACACACACACACACCTATATATATATCCAAGATATGACTGTGGACACTTATGAACATTCTTAACAGTACACATTCAATAACTATATTGATAGAGCAGCCAGATGTGCGAGTTGTACGTGTAAAATTGAAATTTCGCTGCACACGCTTGCTGAATACCTGGGTTTTCTACCAGCAAGTGATCCCCCCTCGTAAGAAATAGTGAAAAGTGACAACAAAATAATGATCGTTTGTTAAACAACTTATTTATTCGGGTGTCCAAAATTATGAGACAAATCATCAGAGTTGGTTTGTTGATTTCATGTGACTGTGCAAACTTTGGTTTTATTGCAATTATCAGGTTTTGTGTTATTGAGCAATTCATCAGTCTCAAATGAAATCAAATGGAATGTAGGTTGTGAGCACACATATATGCATGCATGCACCCGTTTGGTTATAGTTGTATATATAGTTATAGTCATATAGTCATATACATAACACACAGTTATGAGCTTCCAATCTCTTACTATTTAGATTCCAGGAGGCCATCATCCTCATAAGAAACTAAACTTCAGTTCAGTTTCACTTCACTGATTTACCTGTGTATAAGGCAATTTACCTGAGTATATTCCTGGTCCTTGGGAAAACTTGAACCGAAGATTGTGACGACTTTGTGTTTGTCAAGAATCTCTTGCTGCAGGATGCCCAGAGCTCCATAGTTCTCAGTTAGAAGCAAAAGGTAACGGCTCTCACTTAAATTTAGGAAAAACAATTACCAGATTACAGATAGATTATTTAAAACAATTATTTCTTTTTAAATCTGTTGCTGAGGAAAGCACCTAGTTTTTCAGAGAGAATGTTATGATGAACATTTAAACATAATCTCTTAAACTTCAATATGTTTGTTATGGGTAGTGTCTGTCTGCACTCAGTGATGCCTAGTTTGATACAAGCGAGTAGAGCTTTAAACCACAGCAGTGATAACTCACCATATGTCCATTGTGTAATTTCTAGAATTTGAATGATGTATTGTTATTATTTATATTTGTTTTTACACTTGTTGCTTGTTTCTAATTCTAATTGGCATTTCAACTTTAAAATATCAAGCCAAAATGTTAATAGTCATTTCATAAAAAAACTTGGGGGCTTAATCAATCCAAGCACCACTCGCATTTTGCTTTTTAATTCATATCTCCTATCAATTTCAGGATTTACAGTACCTAAGGTTTGTTAAACCACTGAAATCATTATAATAGAAACATTTAATAGGAAGTAATTCCTATAACTTATCCTGAAACCACTCTCTAAAACACAAAGACACATCAGAAACCACATCCGATGTATTCAGTAGATTATGATGTTGTTTGTTTATCCTGAATGTTTACAAATATGTGCTTGTTTAAAGTGGCATAGTACCTGTCTGTACAGTCTCCAAACAGGGCAGCCTTCAAGAGACCAGTTGGTGTACAGTCTGGATCACCATCATGCACCTGTAAAACATTCAGATCTCTGTGTGTAAAAAGTTAAACTAATAATAATTTTAGTGGTGTGATTTCTACAGACTTTAACTTTCAAAGAAGAAGTGAAAAGGGCTCTAAGTGAAAACATTCCAATCCTTAAGACATCAATAGCCCATATTTATCATGTTTATCACAATTCATAAACATGTTATTAAAATTTTCAGGGATTTTTATGTGTCCAGTGCATTACTGGATTTAATCTAAAAACAATGCCAGTAATGAATATCACTCACTTTAGGAATGGACCAAATGACCTAGAACATTTATGGTTCTAATATATCCTGCTGAATCTAGTGTTTTCTGCTAATTTCAGTTTTGTAATTTACAAGGGTCAGATTTAATCCACTACACTACTTTCAAATGAGCTCATTTTTTGTGTCTTGTGAGTTGAATCATTCTGTCTTCAATAATTTAACTACCACCAAACCAACATTTCCCGTTATCAATACAGCGGGTGTCTAATAATGCAGGGGAGTCATTATGGTGATGTATGACTGTATATGTACAAATACCACTACCTCTTCACTTAAGGGAACTGTGTTTATTTTCTCCTTGAATAGTTGTAAAACATTCAAGTCAATTCCACCAAAGTTTCTTTTGACAGCATGTTCCAGTTGGTGCCAGCAAATGTCTCTGTTACTGGTTGCCACAAATGAATACACCATCTTCACAAGGCTGCAATGTATATTGTAAACTGAGAGTAAGTTTCAACCTGATTGGTTATGGGGTACACAGCCTAGAAATAGTTTGGTCTTTTCACTCCACATCAATGCTTTTCTTGATGAATAGATTTTGTTCTCAACAAAAAATTGGAAAAATGATTCACTCTGGCTTGGCAAAATGGATAGAATATCAATTAAATATACACTTTTAACAATATTTCTCAGAACAACATCAATTTAGGCTTTTGTTTCCACATTCTGCTAAACAGGTGAGTTATTTATCACAGAAGCATGTGACATCATCCATTGTATCATGACATCATCAAATGCCAGGATGCCAGGATGACATAGGGCACAGCATTCTTGCATCTGTGAGAGAAAGAGAGACTAAAAATTGCCATATAAATTATGTACTCTACAATGTTAATAAACATAATGCCTTTTCCAAATTGTTACTGTTACTGAGGATTCAATGCCCCCCAAATATTAACATTTGGTGCTGTCAGTTACTGATAATGTTTTCTGAGCTTTAAACCTTCAATGAAACCTGTAAACATAACATGTACCTCTTCAATTTATGATTAGAGATGATTGTAAGAACATATTTGGCCATGTTATTACCAGTAAGGGAACAGTGCATAAAAATGCTACCCAAACCTAGCACATTCCAAAACGATCTTGCTCAATTAAATCAGATATGTCAACTCATTAATGTTCTGACAAGACAGTATTTCAGTTAGGTCACAGGCGGGAAGCAATAATTGAAGCTGGTCTCATCTGGTTACAACTTTTGTGAAACACACAAGCACAGATTTGCTGCAGACACACCTAGAAACATGATGATGACACATTCTGGATTCAAACTCAGGGTCATAGCTTTCTGGACTGCCTAAGTTTTGCAGCTCTCCACAGCAAATTCTGCTAACAGGGACAAACATGCCCCTGGACCAGAAAGAAGGTTTGGACCTACTCTACAATGCAGAAATATATTACAATACCTGTAGAAATCTCTTAGACCAAAAAATTCTCTGGTTGTTTGTTGGGACTCTTCAAAGATTGCCTCATAGGCTTCAGCTAACTCTGTCAGCAAACCCTCAATTCTGCTAAGAACTTCTTTGTTGCTTGAGCAAATACCTCTGTGAAAAGTTATTTAAAGAAATTCAGAAAAACATTACTCATGAGTGCATCAAACTGCTATCAATTCTAATGCTAGAAGTGTAAAGAAAGCAGTTTAGTACAATAAACGTGTAATTACTTCTGAATAAGCATTTGGTGTTGGAATAGAATCCTGTTAAATTGACAGTGCCTTGCAGAAGCAAAATTTGTCAACCAGCTGGATTGCATCCAATCAGGAACTTTAGAACCTTACATCATAGTGAATTGTTCACATTCTTCTGCATGTTTAATGCATCAAAAAAAAATATGATAGGATTTCCAGAACCACAAGACATCTCTGCTTGAAACAAAGTCCACAGTGCAATTCTAACTATATAATAAGCATTTGTTTTTATGAATCACTCTGATATTGTGATCATATCAGGTGTTCATGAAACGGTGAGCATATCCTGTTCCACTGGTGGCATCCATCACGGACAAAGTCAAGGGCAATTAACATAGGAACACAGAGTAGAAGTCAAAGTAGGGAATAATGTTCAACATCATTGGTCACTTCTGTCAATACCTACTCTGCACTTTCTACAAGTTCTTTCGTATCAGGTACTTCTCTCTGCACCAGGATACCTCGGTTCATCTTGGCAGGGTCCAGTGCCCAGTTGGAGATGCCAATGAAGGCAACCTTGGAAACAAAAAAATAGTAAATTAATCTGAATAAATTAAAAATAATTTTTAAAATTATGGATCATTATTGTGCAAAGTGGTAGTCATTAGGCGTTGCCCCCAAATGCCTTCACACCTTGTTAACCTTCGTATCTTGACCAGTTTCTTCAAGTCCCTGATAACCATCCTCTAACAGAGAGTGAAGTGTCTGAAACAGTAATGACAAGGAAGAATTACTATCATATATAACATAGATATATATACAGATATCTTTATTCAATCAGCTCTCACATTACTTTCTGGCAAATCTTATCAGCTTCTGGATGTGAATGTGTTGCAGCTTTGTGATGATTTACCTTGAGTGGCATCCTTGGTGAGTCTTCTGCCAGACCAACCTCATCCAGAACAACGATGGAGGCAAACCTGTCCAGGTCCTTGTCCTGCTGGTAGCGAGCACACTGACGGAAGGTACCGACAATACCTTCAGCAGTGGCCAAAGGACTGCACTGGAATGACACCATCTGTGCCTGCAAGAGTATATCATTGCTATAACTGATATGATACTGATACGATAATTTTAAGAACATTTTATGTGTGGTTGGTCATGAGGTGCTGTGCGAGGGTGAATAGATGTCACATGTACAGTGGGTCATGAAATTATTCACATAAAATAATATCATTTGTCAGAATAAAAATGAGGAAATTTGTTCTTTTAAATCTTCTGAGAAGAGAAAATTTACAGACGCATACCCTGCATGATGGAGTACATAGTGAAAATGCTTGGTTTGGGTTTCTCATGGTGTCTTTTATTGTCTAATGTTTTTAACCAGTTTGAAATGTATTGTTGCTACACACAGCAATGTTTCAGATTTTGAAAAAAACACAACTACAGTGTATTTACTTTGCTTGAACCTTCAAAGATCTATCACATACATACACGTTTTAGTTGTTTGAATAGCTCTGATCTGGCTGAGTTGCCCTGCATGGCATCTGCAACAATGGTTTTGGCCAGGGACTTGGAACTGCCTGGTTTTCCCACCAGGAACAGGGGGATCCTCAGTTCAATACAGACAACCATCATGAACAGGTTCTCTTTGAGGGCCTGGTTCTTTGCTATGTTGTCTTCAAGCTGGACTTCATCCACAAACACTCTCTGACAGCTAATAATTAAACGAAAGACAAAATATAAAAGATTTCATGTTGTTCCAAACTGAAAGCTAAAACAAATATGCTTAAAAAAATCATTTTCATGTGTTAAGCAGATTTATTGGAGAAAATCAAACATGCATAGTTATATCATACTTAAACTATAAATGACACATCATTAATGTATGAGGCAACATTGTCTTCTTGGAGTTCAGGATTCAATTTCATAGCTTCACTTCAAAACAATTAAAGAGTTACCTGTTTATGATGTCAACAAACTGGTTTATATCCCGTCGTCCTGGGAGAACACATGGGTGGTGGAAACGTCCAATGATGTGACGATCATACTCCTCTCGACTTCTCAGTGATGCTCGGTAGCACACACTCAGTGCCAAGATCAGGGCTTTGGTCAGATCAGCATGCTGAAATGCATTGATATCATACGTAATGAAACTTTCTTCTGCTACTAATTTGGAATGCCACAAACACCTATTCAAGCTAACTGTATACGGTACACATGTTACCCATACATAATAGAACTACAGCATTGAAGTCAGAATTGATATGTTGTCAACATTATAAGATTTCAACCACACAGCCACTTATTAAAATTTGCTATCAGTGTTGACATTGACATATTTTATGCAAACGAAACACCTTACAAAACTAATGCTAAAATTTAAATATTTGAAAAGAACATGATGTCATCATGTGGACAAACAAATAGCTTCAGATCCTTCAGTCTGTCAATTTCAGAGAAGATGTTTGTACTGAACCAACATTAGGATAAGACCCCCCCCCAAAACACAAACACAAGTGTTTACCGCTGATATGGCAATGTCCCCCGGCGCTAAAGAATGGAGTATCTATATTTACTACTTTCTATTTTTGGGGGGTCACATACAAGATGCCTGAAATGACTGGTGCCTGCATAATCACCCAGTGTTGGCTGTCGACATAATTGAAAACAATGAGTACAATGTTTTATGAGATATCGTGTTGAAATAAGTTTGAAAGTGGTCAAGGTGCCATGGTGACCTTGAAGATAAGGTCAAGATTACCCAAATCAACTGGTGTCTGTGTAATCCCCCAATGTTGGCTGTCATCAAATTTGAAGACATTGGGTACAACAGTCCATAAGATGTCGCGTTAACAAGAGTTTGAAAAGTGGTCAAAGTGTCATGATGACCTTGAAGATAAGGTTAAGGTCACCCAAATGATAAGGTGTCTGTGTAATCCCAATGTAGGCTGTCACCAAATTTGAAGACATTGGGTACAACAGTCCATGAGATATTGCATTAACAACAGTTTGAAAAGTGTTCAAAGTGTCGTGGTGACCTTGAACCTTGACCACTTTCAAACTTATTTCAACCGATATCTCGCCAAAACATTGTACTCATTGTTTTCAATTATGTCGACAACCAACGCATGGGTGATTAATGCAGGCTTCAGTCATTTCAGGCATCTTATGACCCCCAAAATAGAAAGTAGTAAATATAGATACTCCATTCTTTAGCGGGGGACATTACCATCAGCGGTAAACACTTGGCATTTCGTGTTTTGGTCTTATCTAATGTTGGTTCAGTACAAACATCTTCTCTGAAATTGACAGACTGAAGGATCTGGCTATTTGTTTGTCCACATGATGACATCATGTTCTTTTCAAATATTTAAATTTTAGCATTAGTTTTGTAAGGTCGTTTTGCATAAAATATGTCAATGTCAACACTGATATGAAATTTTAATAGTGGCTGTGTGGTTGAAATCTTATAATGTTGTATATCAATTCTGACTTCAATGCTGGATTCTGTATGTATGGTAACATGTGTACGGTATACAGTTAGCGAATAGTGTTTGTGGCATTCAAATTAGTAGCAGAAGAAAGTTTCATTAAATATGATATCAATGCATTTCAGCATGCTGATCGACCAAGCCTGATCTTGGCACTGGTGTGTTATTATACCGGCATCGCGAAGTCGAGGAAGAGTATGATGCGTCACATCAGTGGGCGTTTTCACCACCATGTGTTCTCCAGAACTGACGGATATAAACCGGTTGTTGATAAATCTAAACAGGTAACTCTTTAATTGTTTGAAGTGAAGCTATGAAATTGAATCCTGAACTCAAAAGAAGACAATGTTGCCTCATACATTAATGATGTGTCATTTATAGTTTTAAGTATGATATAACTATAAAATGTTTGAAGTTTTTCTCCAATAAATCGCCTTTTATTTTGTTTAAGCATATTTGTTTTAGCTTTCAGTTTGGAACAACATGAAATCTTTGCTCCTTTTGTCTTCGTTTAATTATTAGCTGTCAGGGGTGTTTGTGGATGAAGTCCAGCTTGAGAACAACATAGCAGAACCAGGCCCTCAAAGAGAACCTGTTCATGATGGTTGTCTGTATTGAACTGAGGATCTTGTTCCTGGTGGGAAAACCAGGCAGTTCAGTCCTGGCCAAAACCATTGTTGCGAATGCCATGCAGAACATCAGCCAGATGAAACTGTCAAACAACTAAAAGCGTGTATGTATGTGATAGATCTTTGAAGGTTCAAGCAAAGTAAATACACTGTAGTTGTGTTTTAAAATCTGAAGCATTGTACAATATTAGCCAGCAACAACCATTTCAAGCTGGTTAAAGCATTGAACAATAAAAGACACCATGAGAAACCCAAACCAGGCATTTCTTTATGTACTCCATCATTACGGGGTATCGTCTGTAAATTTTCTCTTCTCAGAGATTTAAAAGAACAAATTTCCTCATTTCACGACAAATGATATTATTTTGCATGTGAATAATTTCATGACCACTGTGCACATGTGACATCTATTCTCTCGCTTTGGCACCTCATGACCAACCACATAAAATGTTCTTAGATTATGGTATCGGTATCATATCAGTTATAGCAATGATGTACTCTTGCCGGAATGGTTCGTGCGTCGGCTGTACTGCTGGTGTTATTAGGTGCCTTCTGGTCGTTGTTAACCGCTACCAGCAGGACAAGGACCTGGACGGGTTTGCCTCCATAGTTGTTCGGACGGGGTTGGTCTGTGAAGGCTACTTTGGGGATGCCACTCGGGTAAATCATCCTGGCTGCAGCTTTTTGTTCGTCGGAAATTAAGGATTTTGCCCGAAACGTGAGGCTGATTGATAAGATATACGTATGTAATCATATGTTGCATATGTGATGGTAATTCTTCCTTGTCATTACTGTTTCCAGACCTTCACTCTCTGTTGGGGATGGTTGGCGGGACGAAAACTTCAATCCGTCGAGGTGCTGGAGATATTGAGAAGGCTGCCAATGTATTCCACCGCTTTTGCTGGCATAATCCATTTTATTTATTCAGACCGATACTATTTTGTTTCAGGTTATTCGTGGATACCAACTGAAACCGCATTGTAAAGATAACGGAAGTGAATGATGACGAGAGGCAATGTTGAACTACTTTGACTTCTCTGTTCCCTGATAATGCCCTGTCGTGATATTTCCGAATGTTTGAATATGTCACCGTTCGCCAGGCACCTGATAATCACAATATTGAAGTGATCGCAAAAGCAAATGCTTATTCTTTGTTGAAGATGCTTAATGATTCTAATCTATCTGATACCAAACGTGAACAATTCACTATGATGTAGTCTAAAATTCTGATTGAATGCAATCGACGAAATTTTGCTTTCGTTTTGAGATTATTCAACGCAAATAACAAATCACGTTTATTATGCTAAACTCCTTTCTTTACTAGCGACCAAACCGATAACGGTTGATATAACCAATGTTTTTCTGTTTCTTTAAATAACTTTTCTGAAGATATTTGCTCTTTAATAACTAACGGTAGTGCTAACTATGAGCAATCTTAATCGCTGGCTCAAGCCCACAGTCTAAAATTTCTACAGTATTATGTCTGCATTAACAAATGGTAAACCTTCTTTCTGGTCGGTACAATGAAAACAGCGATGCTATGACCCCAGGTGAAATCGTCGTCATCATGTTTCTGGAAGTGTCTGCTTTTTAAATCTGCTCGCTATATTTCGTTATTAACCAGAACCAGCTATTAAACGCTTCCGCCACCAACCGACCTTTCAATACTATATTTGTCGAGCCGATAATGAGACCATTTCTCGATTTAGTATGGTGATGCACTACCTGCTATATTCATCACAATCTCTAATCATAAGTGAAAGGAGTACATCATGTTTGAAATTTCATTAACTGCTCGAAGCGTATGACTTCGGCACCGATGTTTAATCCGTAACGGCTGGTGAGCGTTGTGGCACGACCAGGCTACTGCGAATACTGGCTCAACCTATCCTGGCGTCTGATGATGTCGTAATATATGTTTGCG